ATCTTTTTGGATCTCATCAGCGCGTCGCAGACAGCTCCGACAGAACACAGACCAACTTTTACCTGCTGTCTTAACAGCGCGTTTTAGAAAATACCACAAATGGCGCGGTAAACGCCATCTGTAGTGCGATGCTACATTTTAGGATTACGTATGCTCCAACAAGGTCCGCACTTGTGTGGATATCTACTTGCTGAAACGAACCCCGGCGTAGCTAACCTCAACGTGACAGACACGTTACCATAATCGAATAAAATTATTCGAAGTGATCTGTTATCTTTCGAAACTGCCAGACGCGGATTGCGATTTCGATCTTTTTGGATCCCATCAGCGCGTCGCAGACGGCTCCGACAGAACACAGACCAACTTTGACCTGCTGTCTTAACAGCGCGTTTTAAAAAATACCACAAATGGCGCGGTAAACACCACCTGTAGTACGATGCTACATTTGAGGATTACGTATGCTCCAACAAGGTCCATTTAAATATATGGATATCTACTTGCTGAAATGAATCCCGGCGTAGCTAACCTCAACGTGATAGACACGTTACCACAATCGAATAAAATAATTCGAAATGGTCTGTATTCTGTCGAAACTGCCAGACGCGGTTCGCGATGTCGATCTTTCTAGATCTCATCAGCGCGTCGGAGACAGCTCCGACAGAACACAGACTAACTTTTACCTGCTATCTTAACAGTGCGTTTTAAAAAATGCCACAAATGGCGCGGTAAACGCCATCTGTAGTACGATGCTACATTTTAGGATTACCTTATAATTTGTTGTATATTCTGAACCATATTTTAAATTACATAAGGATAAATGCAGTGCAAGAATATACATTTGTAAAAATTGAGTTGAATGAATGTTAACTTTTTAAAAAGCTGAAACGCTGTAATATATTGAATATTAAATAAGTCGCGGGAATTACTGATACGATTATTATTAATGCGGCATTGCGATGTATGTGATTTTAAAGTTACTTGTATATTCAATTGTGCAATAGTTTGACGACTAGTTTGGATAATCTAAAATTCGATTTATATGCTTATTGTGATAAATAAATAGTTATACATGTCAACTGTAACCCAATTTTATAGCGCAATAACTTGTAAATAATAGGTGTGGATCATATTTTGCTGTCACTTTTATACTTTTACTCTATTCTACATGCATTTCAAAATAGATATTCGCTCCACATATTTCGAATCGTAATTATAACGATTCAATTTAAATAAATACCGTTTTAGCAAAAAGGTGTATATACAAAATAAAATCAACTAATGAAAATGGAAAATGAAAATTACATAACTCACATTGGTGTGAATAGAACATTGATATAATCTTAAATAAAGTCTGTGTTGGACTCCGCGATTTTATAAACACAATATCAGATAAATTAGCTTTAATTTGTAAACTGCAATTAATTGTTGACCTATGAACGCGCATTCCTTCATTTTTTTTAATAGAAATTATTCACAGCAGATGCTTTGTAAATAAAAGTTAAATGATTCATTTTTAAATCAAATGATTCATAAACATCATCAT